TGGGAAACACAAACACCCAAAGCCTCGAAGATGATTATACAATGGCATACGATCATAAAGAAAACACGTGAGAGTGCCAAAGGACAAAGTAGAAGTAAGAAGAACATTGCGGAGATAAGAGGCCATAAGAAGAGCCTCAACCTAGTGTGAGGGGGGCATGGAAGAATGCGTGAGAATGGTGCGAGTGACGTCGATGAGAGTACGAATAATTCGTTTAGCTTTTCCTTTTTGTGAAAGAAGTGTGGGGGCAAGAAAAATGATATCGCATACCATGTTTAGTAGAAAACATGCGAAAAAAGTGTATCATCAAATTTGAAAGGTTTTTATTTCTTTTTCAAACTGAGTTTTGACAAGTGTATGGAACTGAATAAATTTAGAGTAAGCCTCAAACTTGTGTTTAGAAGAACACACCCAAACATAATTTGTAAAGTCATCAAGAAATACGAGGGAATAATGATGACCTTTGCCACTTAAAATATGAGAAGCCCACAAATCACTATAAATAATATCAAAAGCAAAGAAAACAACAAATGAAGACATAGAAAATGACAAATATTTGTGTTTTTCAATCTCACAAGAATGACATTAGTTGGAGCTATTCTTCTTATTACACGGGATGAATTTATTTTTGCTCAGAGAATTTGTCATGTGCTTTCCAGGGTGGCCGAAGGAGAGATGACACCAAGTGATAAAGGATTAGACTCGATAGATTTAGTTACTGGATAGAGGTCCCCTGAAAAATTGCATCGCATGATGGTTACCCCCGTTCGAAGATCCTTCACGGAAAAACCAAAGGGTCAAACTCAACAGACATTATTATCACAAGTAATTTTTTGTACATAGACAAGGTTTTTGATAATGTGTCGGGGGTAAGAAAGACATTGGATAAGGAGAGGTTAGGAGTGAGATGTGCTATATCGGATCCTTGAACATGAATTGAGGAACCATTTCCAACCAAAACATAATGAACCGAACTTGAATAAAAAATTATATGCAACTTACCCGAGTGAACAATCATGTGTGAGGAAGCACCTATGTTAATATATCACGAATCATCTGGTGCTTGTAGATTCATAGAGAAGGGCATGGTGGAGCTCAGTAAAAGTGGAGTCCACTAAGTATGCCTGAGTAGCCTGGACAGTTGGAGCGGCTGTCGGAGCAACAAAATAGCCACGGGGAGGAGCACCAAGTAAACCCGAGTTATTATAGAGCTGAGGGGCAACAATAGGGTAATGACATGGCGGTACAACCAAGAGTTAGTCTAGTATTGTTGTGGTCCAGCCCACGGAGGTGCATAAGGTTGAGCCTGGTAGCCTTGTTGAGAAGACTACGTATGTTTTTGTGGTAACGATTGCCCCGATGGTTGCAATTACTGCGCCGACGGTTAGTGTTATAGCCATTATTGTGCGGGCAACCGTTGTTATTGTTGGTAAGAGTAGAGGAGTTGGTTGGAGAAGACGCAAACAAAACTCAAATAATGGAGCCCATAGCTGAGAGTGCAATTTGTCTAGAGTTTTCAGAAGATCTATTGCAGCGAGTTTCTTCTCAAACAAGCATATTCGAGTAGCCAAGAAAGACGAAAGAGGAGTCATTTGGCTGATGATGCTACCCACGGTATCAAAGGTTGATGTGAAACCATTAATCAATTAGAGGACCAGACGTTGATCACTAATTGTTTCGCCGACATCTTTGAATTGATCCGCAAGCATCTTAGTTGTGGCAGTATGCTTGACGTTTAATTCTCCAAGTTATTGAGTATAAAGATCTGCATCCCACACACTTTTGTTGTCGGAAGAGGTTTTTAACTCATAACCAAGCAAGGTTATCAAAATCGCGACTTTGAGTCGTAGAATCGCCGATTCTACGACTCAAACTCACAAAATCGATTCTAAGTCGCTCAAAATCGCAAAGGACTGTAGAGTCGCTACAGAATCGGTAGAATCGGTCAAAATCGTAAAATCGGTCCGATTCTACGACTTTAACCGATTCTGTGCAAAACTGAAGTTAATGTACTAGAACTAGATTTTAAAATTGGGCTGCGTTTGGGCACTTGGGCTGTTTTTTTTTTTTTTTAATTTTTTTTACACAAATTGGCCCAAAAAAAGCATAAAGATTCCCTTCCCTTGGCCCAATACAAACCAAAATAATTAAAAAAAAATATTAATAAAAACCCAAAAAATCCTAAAATCCTAATCCCTAATCTGCTCTTCCCGTCTTCCGTCGCGCAACTTCTTCACCTCCATCCCTCACTGGCCGACCGTCGTACACCAAGTCTCCGACGTTAAACTCAAATCCATCTCTCTCTTACTTCTTCTTCGGCCTCCAATCCTCCACAGTTCACACAGTTGTAGCCTCCCACAATCCGAACTCCGAGTCTACGTCGTTAAAATGGCTCGGCCTCGACGCCTGCGTCTTCTTCGTCCGAGCAATGATGGTGATGGTGATTAGTTTGGTTATAAATTATGATTTAAACTTGTGTTTTTTTTTTTTTTTTTTTTTTNNNTCACTAGTATGTTATTTCACTAGTAGTTTGAACTTTGAAATGTGAAATTATGTTATTTCACTATTCACTAGTATGTTTGCCTTTTGGACTTTGGTGATATTGAACGCGCATAGTGTTAAAATTTGAACATTTATTTTTTGAAAAACAAGTGGTGGTTTTTTAGCATTTTGATACATATTCTTGATGATTACCATAAAACCTGTTAAAATAATTAATTTTAGACATTCTGAGTAGAGTCTTACGATTTTATGATTCCGATTCTACGATTCCGATTCTGCACCCAAAACGATTCTATGTAGAATCTCGATTTTGAAAACCTTGTAACCAAGGTAAAGCCTGGTTGTATGACGGTAAGAAAGAGATCTTCAAAGATAAAACAAAATCCAAAGTGGACAACAACATCTAATTGCTGCCATTTGGTCATGGAAACATCAGGATCTAGCGAGTATTTTTTGGATTATCAATGTAGTCCATAACGTTATGGGCGCAAACGACAATCTAGAATAATTCCGCCCAAGTGTGATATTGAACCCTTTGGAGATCAAGGGTTAATGGGACCAAAATTTTTTATGGCGTGCACCATTTGTGTGGAATGAAGTAGGCCTGGGACCGGTCCGGTTCTTATCTTTTTTTTCAAGAACCGGAATCGGAACCGAACCAAAAAAACCGGTTCGGTTAGCACCTAAAAAATTGCAGGAACCGAAAAAGAACCGAACCGGTTTATAACGGTTCGGTTTTTTCGGTTATTAGGTTAACCGAATAACAAAAAATAACCGACAAAAACCGGTTTTGAGTTAAGAGCCGGTCAAAAAAATGCAACTCACGGACTAAAAATATCATGAAAAACCGAGAACCGAATGCAAAAATGAAGAACCGAATATTAAGTACAAGAACTGAAACCGATTTATACATATAAACATATAAAACATGAATATTTTTACATATATAACCGGTTCCTCGGTTAATACCAATACTCTTGGAAAGGAACCGGGAACCGGAACCGAAAACATGCAAAAAATAACCGAACCGAAAAAAATAGTTTTTTTTTTTTTTAAATAACCGGACCGAACCGGTTATTTTCGGTTCGGTCCGGTTAGGTTCTCCGGTTCTCGGGTATAAAATCCCACCCCTAGAATGAAGAGAAGAGGAAGAAGATTTTTCAGCCATGGTATAGATAGAGAAGAAAAAGAACGAGATGGCAACAGATGAGATTTTAGGTTGAAGAATAGTTTCCTCTGGTACTGTCCTCTATAGGACTCTTTTTGTCTTCACAATATATAAGCACTAACTTAAGCTTTTACAATAACCCTAATTATATACAAATAAGGAAATTAAATGATAAACAAGTATTTACTTATTAATCTATACTAGTATTCTACCTGTGCACATGCACAAATACAAATAAAATTTTATATATTATACATCATATATATATGTTTTTATGTAAAATTTAAAAATCATAAATTTGATAATAAGCATATCATATTTATAAATTTTATCATTACTATAATAACATATAAATAAAAACTATTTAACGTACATATTAATCTTTAAATTTATACAGTGTTAGTCGATTATGATAATTAATTGGATAAAAAATATTTAAATTATTATTATAATATTTGTGTACAAATCATTAAAAAATTTAGTTATGCCATAAAAGATAATTAATTAATTGTAATAAAAGAAACTTTCTTAATGAGGTGAAAAAAATAACAATTTTAAATAATATAGTTTAAAAAACATTAGAATAGAATACCATTTAATGTGTCTTCATTATTAGTTAATAGTAACAATTATATAATAAAATAAGTAAAAAATATAATTGTGATTAATGCAAAAGTAACGGAAAAAGGCGAAAAAACGAAATTTTTTTTATTAAATGCTCATGAGCCAGTAATTATATATATATATATATATATATATATATATATATATATATTATCAGTGATTCAGTATAAGTAAAGCTGCAATGGCACCCTTACCCAATTGGTTGAAATCCATGGAGCATAACAAAGCTAAAAACTATTGGGACCTGAATTTTTTTAAACAAAAGATTATTATTCAAATGAAAACTAACAAATCTGCTGAGTTCTAAACACGCACAATATAAACATCAATAACATCATATTTTACCAGTAATCGAACATATAAAATCTAAATAAAAACAATAACATTTCGTCCATTTGAGTACCTTACCCCACAAGGATTTTAATTGTCGGATCAACATATACTCTTATTGTCAGATCAACACACACCTACACGGGTGTGAGTATATATGTTTGAGTGAATTCACCCACAAACAATTACCGTTGCAACATCACCTGCAAAAGTTCATATAATTATAATTCTTGTCCTGCACATTTGATACCCTTTTGACAAATAAAAACTAACATATCCAATGGCCAAGAAACAAATCTCACTCTCCTACTCCTTAACACTAATTTCTAACTGTAGACAAATTCGAACACCAAGCTTACAGAGAATGTCATGTTTCTTAGGGACAAGGATTAGGAAAAGCTGAATGAACTTCATTAATTTCCGCAACTATCTCTGGAGTAAGCTGCACAGTGCAACCATTCAGTACTTCCTCGAGCTGCCACAGTTTAGTTGTTCCGAAAACAGCACTTGCTACAAGAGGGTGTCTTAAAACAAAAGCTGTCCACATACTTCAAATATAAGATTTCCGGACTGGTCTATCGATGAAAAAATGACATCAAGATAAAGACTATCCTAAAGGTCCGCTCATCCCATTAAATAGCTATTAAAACCCCATGAACGTTCGCCTTTTTTAATCAGATATTACGTATTCAGGATGAGGTACGTATATTCCAAAAGGCACTTTGAGGTTCTTGAGTTAAACTACATTTCAAACGCTATGTTTTCTAATTAAACCCAAATACATATATATACACACACACACACACATATACAAGCATCTATCATTTCACAAACTACATATTACGACCACAAGATCAACAAAAAAGTTACTGGATGACAATATGCACTTATATGAAGACCAAGGCTTCACCATACACAATTAAGCACACTATGGGAACAAAAGTGATGAATAACATGGGCTTATCATTCTTATTTTAAGAAGGCCATATGACATTTCAAGTTTGCAACAATTGCTGTTACTCTTTCTAATATTACTGAACTTAACATGAGAAAGTTTGTATACTTAGAAGAGCAACATTTGTGTTTCTTAAATGCTTCCATGTCTATATCAGACATACTTAAATTGGTAAGGTTAGATGAAACACGCACACAAATATATAAATAAATCTAAAATTACATTGCTGAAGTTGTTCGCCAAGATAAAATCTATAAGTTATGTTAGTAATTAATATTTCAGAAATGAATTTGCAATATGAAACGAGATTGATCAATAAGATATTTGAGAAAAAAAAATAAGGAGAAAGAAATAGGATTGTGACTAAAATATGAGACACCAATATATTGGTTGTGTTTTTGGGAAGATGAGTTTTCAAGAAAGAGTTCCTCAGAAATTTTAGTTCTCTTTTTTGGTTCATTCAAGCGTATCTCCAATTTCATGATTTAGCTATTAGAGAGCAAAGGAGACGAGGCAAATAATACAGTTGTGATAAAAAAACAAATTGTAAGCAACAAAGGAATATATCTAACAGATACTGGAAGTCGATATAGAAGGAAAAAAAAAAAAAAAGACACATGTTGATTAAGGTACCAAAAAGCAGATTCAACAGCAACACCATGAATTCAGTCAGTAGCGTAAAGCATACGTGGAAACTTATAGGGTTAGAATGTGAGCATACTACAAACTTGTTGTACCTATTGCGAGTGATACAGGATGAACACCATGCTTTTCCGCAACGGATATATATAACTGCAACACACAATTAAAGTGACAATAAGTGAACATGTATTAAATATGTGTTCCATGCAACTAAGCATCATATCTAAGAACAATCATAGTTTCTCTACATGTCGAATCTCCATAAGCATAGAGCACCATTAACCACTACTTCAAAATCTTGTACAGAATTGCGATATACCAATATATTTCAAGAAAGTTGCGAGACATCTATGATCTAAACATCAGAAAGATGTAGCACTGCATCACTAATAAACCGTAAAAATCTCAAATGGGCAACTTGTGTGAAGACAAAAAGAATTCATTGGTAAACTTCTTAGGAGTATTTTGACATGGTGAATCTATATGAATCATCCGTAATTTGGTATTAAATAGAGTTAGAGATTCGGACACCAGATCCATGTTAACAAGCATTGGAATGTTAGATGTATCATAGTTAAAGGAATAATATATTATCAGATGTTTGCTTACTTCAGTGGCTTTTCTAATGATATCTTTAGACAAGTTGTATCTTGACTCCCCTTCAGCATACCTCCCTATAAAATAGTAACATACACCGTAACACAATCTAGTGAAATACCAAGTGGCAAGTAAACAATTCAAAAAGATGAACAGAAAAACCTCTAAAAAGATTCAAGCGAGCATCTGCCGGGCATCCATCAAGTGAGAGATACTTCCCAGATAGAATGCCCATAGCCAAAGGGCTGTAGGCCAATAAGAATACCCTAAAGACAAATTAGTTGATGTCAACACTGGTGGCAAATACACTGCAGCACTCGGTATACTTTTTTAGATGTAATATTATGAAGCTTAGAAGCATAAATAACTTCCATTTTGTTGAAATTGACTCAAAAAATCTCAGTAAAAAAAAAATCAAACCTATTTTTTTTTTTTTATATTGATTCCTAATTAACCAAAATAAGAATCTCAGAATTCATTTAAAATGACAACCCTCCACTTTTCTAAATATTATAAGCACAAGGCTCTACAAGATTCAATAATGTTTCATGCTTGAGATATTGACACATGATAAGGCACATTCAGAAAAGAGTTCGAAATTAATACCTCTCGTGATGACAACACTCGGCCATCCCGCCATCGAAATTTCGATTAAGAAGGTTATAAGAGTTCTGAAAATAAATAAGTTATTTAAGTTTTAGTTTTTGTTTGTGTGTGATGTGTGTGTGTGCATGCACGTGTGGGGTAGAGGGAGGGAGGGGGGGGGAGAGAGGGAGAGAGAGAGAGAGAGAGAGGGAGGAGGGAGAGGGGGAAAGAGAGAGTTGTAGTAAAAAAATACACTATCCACAATCAGATTTCAACAATAACGCACCTGCACAGATACTATTCTAGCATTAATGACGCTCTCAGCAATGTGGAGAAATTTCATGAGACCATATGGTGTTTCATTACTCAGCCCGATATATCTTACCTGGAAGTAATATTATTTAGACTATATACAATAATAAGGTTGTCACATATTAACTGATAAAGCAGTCTACTGCCCAATCAACTGAACTGACCTTACCAGCACTAACAGCTTTGTCGAGTGCACCAAACTGTTCCTCAAAACTGACAGAAGCAAAGTTTCGGGACGGGTCATACTCAGTTTCTCCAAACATAGGAACGTATCTGAAGGAAAATCTTTGTCAGGATGTAAATGATCTAGTGATAAGTTTGATGTACTTTATGGAAGTTCATCTGCAGCTTGAGATATATGCGGCTCAGTAGACTCGCAGCTCTTTGAAAATGTATACTTAATGTGACACATTATTCTTATTTTACTGAACGGAGGATACAAGACGGGCATACAAACCGGTCAGGCCAATGAATTTGATACAAGTCAATGTAGTCACTTTGCAGGCGAAGCAAACTGCAAAACATATCTTGTCTTAGAGTTCATGCTCGAACAACCAAGTCAAACACATCAGTGGCACATCAAACTCAAAACGACCCCAATGTATCAGAGTGAAAAAGTTGAAAGAAAACAGAATAATAATCAGTGACCGTACATATTTAAATTTAAAGAAAAAGCGTCACTTAGTTCAACCTATTATCAAGTGCCTCGGCTATATTCTTGGCGTCAAGGCTGTCTGGTCCATTTCGAATCCACGTCATTTGCCCCGATGGCCCACTAACCTATCTCCTCCCAAGTCCCATTTACACATGGTTTGGCGAACGTTTATCCACGCAACCAGCAAATCAACAACAGATGAGCAACATCACCAATATCATATTCTACTACGAAAGAAAACGAAAAAATCATCCACAAACTTAATCATCAAATATTGTTCATATTCGATTGGCATATCTAGGTCAGGAAAGGTATTTGTCAGGCAGACCTAACCGTCAGGCAGGCATACTATGATGCATAAACGTCATATTTTAGCGTAAACAAAAGTATGACATTACACAATACTAATAAGCATTTTCATTTGAAGACTACAAAGGGTCAGCCTGCCTAACGATTAGGCATTTTACAACAACAGCTATGATCTTGGTTCTATGAAGTCGTTCACGGTCCTGTCTAATAGGATAATATGAGCATTTTGTTAGGTGATGTGAGTTAACATGAAGGGAGAGAATTTGAAGAGCTAATGCACAACATTGTATATGGACATAAAGATTGTTTTAAATGGTCAAACTACATAGCATGAACTAGCTAACAAACAGATTGATATCAACATACCTGCAGCTTTCAAGCACAACGTGTGCAAGTTCTACCTACCACATCCACAAACTTCATATCCATAGCAATATCTTTTATTCTTTTAGACACTGTTTAAGTTCAATATCCAAAGACTACAGCCCAACCTTCCCCACAACTCAAGCTCAGAACCAATCTTTGTTCGGAAACTATGTAAGTTAAATCTCAAGCTACAATCAATCCCAACCCAGCACTTACGCTCTACCACAGCGTAGTACAATACAAACTCCATTCTCCAAATAATTGGTTACTTAACAACTTCTGTGATATGAATTGGAGACAAATTTAGGTGATCAGCATTAACCTTAAACTACTCAACCTTCGCATTTAGACAACCAAAAACGACATTAGTTATGTATGTAAGCAGGCACATCCTAGTCCTAATCCTAATCCTAATCCTAATAATAGTAATAATGTCAAAAAACTTAATAATTTAACATACTACATTGCAAAAACAACAAATTACAGAGCATCTCAACCAAGGTGTTCAAACCTTTGTAGCAAGAACCACGCGGTCACGCGGGATTTTTCTCGACCTTATCCACCGCCCCAAATACTCCTCACTCCTTCCCTGAGTTTCCAGACGCTGCGGCACCGGATACCTACACCAAAATCAAAAGCAAATGAACAAAGAGACAAAACAGCGACTCAAAGTACGAACGCCAGAGTATACGTAAAGCCGCACATCTCGGCAGAGTCGAAGAAATTGATTCCGGATTCGAAGGTTCTGTCGAGCAGCTGGAGAGACTGAGGCAAGGAGTTCTGCTCGCCGAATGTCATCGTGCCTGGTCAATTGGAAGACGACAGCAAAATAAATCCCGCGAAGTACATGCAAGTTAAGAAATGCTGAGAATGGTGAAAGGATCTGAGACCTAAGCAGAGCCTTGAGACGGCCATGTCGGGCGCGAGATTGAAAAGCGGCACCGCCGCCATCGATGGACGATGTGAGGTAACAGAGTTGCACACGAGATATGAGCAAAACTGGTTGAGTCAACAAAAGTGAACAAAATCGTTTTCGATTAAGTAAATAGGCTAGTTTTAATTAATTCGCGGACATTAATTTAACTAGTATTCTCGGAATAGAGATATTAAATGAGTTTTTCTCATAGAATAGAGATATTAAATGAGTTTTTCTCATAAGCTTAGTCCGTTTAAATTTAAAAAACAATAGATTTATTATTTATTTTTTACATTTTATAATCAGCGTAAAGTCCAAAAAACCGTTATAATCTATTTTTTACATTTTTTAATCAACGTTTTTTTTAGCTAGAACATTAAATATGAGCATGTTAGAGCTTCTAAAATAATTAATATATTATCTCACTAACACGTTTATACTAATATAAATTTGACTTTAAGCCCCGTTTGTTTTCAGCTTTTTTGCCTAAACGCTATTTTTAGCTAAAACATTAAATATGAGCATGTTAGAGCTTTTAAAATAATTAATATATTATCTCATTAACACGTTTATACTAAAATAAATTATGCTTTAAGCCCCGTTTGTTTTTCATTTTTTTGCCAAAACGTTTATACTAATATAAATTTGGCTTTAAACCCCATTTGTTTTTTTATCTTTTTTGCCAAAACGTTATTTTAGCGGACCGGATTAAGAAAAGGTAAAATTAATTTTTTTGGCGTTTAGTAAAATAGTTGTTGAAATTAACTGATGAATCCAGAACGCTAAAATTATAAACGTTGTGGGCCTTGTGAGCGGGCAGCACGGAGGGCCCTGTGAAGAGGAGGCGGCGGCGATGGCTTCTGCAAGGGTTTACTTCTGTTTTAATTTGGGGCTTTTTTTTCTAGAGAGAAGTGGGATCGCATCTATATTCCATATTTTAATGACCTGTATTATAGTCAAGAGCGAATTGGATCTAATACAGATATATTTATAGCAACTATTCGACAAGTGCTTATACCTTTGGGTTGTGTTGTGTACCGTACCTAGCATTCTTACTGATACAACGTATGAAATGAATAGTTTCCCCAAAATAAATAATAAGAAAATCAAAATTTATAGTTTGTAGATTTCTGATGAACAAACAAAGCACCACTTTTCCAAGAACCACAACTACTCCTGAGGAGTGAGGCGTGTTCTTCCCCTGGTGGTGGCATTAAATCCACTCAATGGCATATGGTACAGGAGACTTGCAATAATGGATATTATCCTGAGGCACAACGACTCTCAGTTAATTTCGACGCATTTTCTTCTTCAGTTTTTCCTCTTGAATGTATCTTCCTCGCCTTTCATCTCTCTGCCTCTTTTTCAAAATTTGCTCCTCTTTTGCACGTTCCGCTTCTTGTGCCTCCCTCTTTGCAGCTTCCTTGCGTTTTCGCTTTTTCATCTATAGAAATGGCATTACATGTTGTCAGATATTTCAATCTTTTCAATTACACTTTACTATGACGCAGATATTGGAGCCTGCAAACTGAAAAAGTGAAGCAAGTAATTTTATCCTTTTTTCAATTAATAAGTTTTGTAGAGTAACTTAATCGCACCAGCAACAAGCGTATCAGAAATCGGAAGTGTTTAAGAGAAAAAAAAAAAAAACAAAGGAAAAAGAATGGCGTGTACAACTATTACCATTCAGCAACATAAAAAGTAGCAAATAAGTCTTTTATCAGAGCAGCCATCCAAGAATATTCTTCCAGATTTTATTTTTCTGGTTCTCAGGTAAATTACCTTTTCATTTCTAATAAGTTGAAGATGTTGAACCATAGCATGCACTTCCCGGTCATGTGGCTCCATGACCACAGCTCTCCTACTTCCAAGCGACTGCCGTCTTCTAGAAGGTATGTCCTTGGGTTTCGATGCAAATGGTAGAGCCTCCTGCAGAGACTTCGGGATAACTATAGGATTGAACTTCTTCGGCTTCCTTTCAATAGGCTGAAAAACAGACGAGAAACAAAATGAAACCAACAATTGAAACAAACAAACAAACAAAAGGAAATAGGAAACAAACAAATGATATAATGAAAACAAACAAATGAAACCAAATTTGTTCTTTCTTTTTTTTTTGTCTATTCTTAAGTGGGAATAGGAAGGAATGTTTTAACTTCAGTAAAAGCTCATACTTTGTAAAGAGAATCCTTGTTGACTGGCACTGGAAGGTTTTGTTCCCTCCTTAGTTCGGCAACTGTTTTCATGCCCTGCCAAGTCTTATCACGGGGCTGCAAGGCAGTTGTCAGAGGATTGTAAAACTGAGGAACTTCAACCTGGGACCAAGCTCGTAAGAAAACGATGTCCCCCATTTTAATTTTATCCTCAAAGGTGCATCTAGCAATGCCTTCTTTAGCATGTCCGCCTTTCTTCTTAAACTTGTTAGCAATCTCTTCCTTTGCAGCCTAATAAGTGAAACAGCAAACAATGAGGTTAAAAATTCATGTGGGTATAAGCTAGCAATCAGAGTTTCCTTGAACAGAATATAACACAAGAGCCAACAGAAAGCTCCAGCTGCAGTCTATGAATGTTGTCTCTTTTACTTTATATAGTTATAACACTGAGTTCAAGTCATTTTTTCTCCAGAATTTCAACTACTTAACAGATTTGACACACAAGAAAAAAGAAGGAACCAAGTTTGACCAAATCTTAGATCCCATTATGCAAATTATTGAGGTAATATTAATAATAATATAGAAGTACCACATCCAGAACAACACATGCTTGTGAAAAACAAAGAAAATAAAGAGATTAGTAGTTATAAACTTCAACTACAAGAGGATAGAGTTGATTTATTTCGTAGCATTCTGCATACAAAAGATACCTTCTTCACTTGTCCACGTATTCCACTAACTGTTCGTATAGCTGCGCCTTCGAACCTGGCTACTTCAAGATCCGAAGTGAACATGTCTTCAATAAAAGCAGTCTTCTTGAAGATTTTACAGGCATGGCCAACTAGTTTAATCTTCTTCATTATTTTTGCAGCATGGTTGAACTCCAGTATTGTAGCAGTAGCTGTAATCCTAAATGAAGCCTGCAATAGAAGTTGGACATGGCTAACATCACAAACTGAAACTGTCAACTGAAAATAAAGAATCAACACGCTTGATGGTCAAATAAATAGTTGGCGGCCTGACTTCATTTCTTTCATATTTCTTCTCCCTTCCCCCAACTACCAGGGAGGTTGCTTTCCATGCAAAAACGCAGGTCAACGTGTCTTGTAAAAGATCGAAATCGATAATAAGTTTCACTGCAAAAAACCTGTGGCCCATACAATTTTTTGGTATATTCTATGGAACAGTTGTCATTTGGATTCTACATTTATCCCAAAACAACCTAGTTCAACGAGCTTTGTCTCGATGTGATTTAAAAACATGGCATACAAAATGAAAATGTGCATGAACTTTATATTACTGATTCCATAATCTCCCAGTTTAAGATTGTAGAGACAGGATTTCCCTTGAGTCCTTTGGCAACACACACGCCCTGAGCTGATTTTATTTTTATTTACTTAAGATACAGAATTGAAAATGTGAAGAAATTAACTCCACAGCTCTTTAGTTCCTCATCCTTCAGTTGTTGAGAGCACAATTTGTGATCTCCTTTGGATACTCCTATTTGGCATCACCACACGAGTCTTCTCGTCCTTATACAGAATAACTAGAACTTAAGAGCTCTCAACTTAATAGAAGGATACAAATCTTACCTGATTATTTGATAGATTCTGGACAGCGACCACCCCAGTATGAGGGGGAGCAAGTGGACCCCAAAACATAGCAAGACAATGCATATGCTCAGGTGTGTATTTTAGCATACGATGTCGGCCATTGCGATCCTCAATGGCATATATGGGTACAGTCTGATAGCGTCTCCATCCAACAGACACGATTATAGGGTCTCTAGTCTTCAATACTTTCTTGTGCCATCTATGGCGCTTCAATCGTGCCTTCAGGAATAAGGAATGAACAAACAAACAAACAAACAAACATTTAGTGTGAGAAAGGAACCAGCATGAAATTTAAAAAAGAATAAAGTTTCAGAAAGTTCTATACCTGCATATATCCAACATTTTCCTCTCCCAAAGCAAGACCACCAAGCAGAATTGGATGACACGGGTCAAAATTTTCAACCATTTCATAGGGCACATCACGAACTTCAATTCTAAGATATGTCCCAGTTCTGTAACCTTCTATTTCAATACGAGTAGCTTCATCGAGTTCATTAAGTTCGGCAATGTTTACTTGTTTACGAAGTTCAATTTCCTCCTTCAACTGCACAGAACGAGAGAATAAGAAAAGGTCTTCCATGATCTCGAATTGTTCATATAGGTAAGTATCAGATAGATTACTTTATCAAAGAATCCACCTCCACTGCTCTGACCACCAGTAGTCTTGGCATCATTATCACCACCTTCACCTTCATCAGGGAACTCTGATTCATCATATGTAAACTAGAATTAAGGACACAAATGTTCAACATATTTATTGCCATGTAAGGTATGCCAATCTAATAAAGCCAGACATTAAAGCCCATTAGGCATTTCTAGATAAGGCACTCATTTCACACTTCAAAAGCTTATTCAATTCTGCCACTAAAAAAGGACAGATGAAAGGTGTGATTTCACTCATAAAAGCGGAGAAAAGAAAAGAAATGGGCATTCCGAAAGAAAAAGGAAAACAAAAATTGAAACTAAGCCTCCAGCAAAGCAAGTTACTGTGCTAGGATCCAGCTAGCCCACACCAAATGTAGAAAGGTGCTACTGGTTTCAGACTTTCAGCAGCCCAAATCCCAAGATAGGTCACATGCTTAGTCTCAAGAGATAGTATGAAAGAATTATCAGTAGCACAATAGACTGTAATATAAAGGATATTGAGCATCAAATTTGGCACGAAGAGCAAGTTTTTTCAGTCGTCTCTCCACAGCAGCCAAATCATCTGCCTTGCGAGCATCATCATGCTGGCTTTCATACTTCTGACCCGTTTCCAAGTCTTCGAATTCACCAAAGACTGCATCATCATCGCCATTGTTAATGTCACCCGAGGCACCTTCAGAGATGCGATTTCTCAAGGATGCCTTTGACCAATCTCCGGTAACAAAGCGATCACGTATGCTTGCAATTAAATTTTCATTCGTCCAATCCCTCAGACTCACAGTGCTTGTAAATTTCGAGCAGTCATCTGTGTCAACGTCATTGCTGTTTATATCTTCCTTTGATTTCTGCGATCAATCAAATGAGAAAACAGTTATAAACCCAACTATACCAATCACATCAACAACTCCAAATGACAACAGAGTATGGCCGGATTCAGTGTACCACAATGTTTGCTAAGCTTATTAAAATATCTTATTAGCTTCTATATCTCGTAAGATATTTTGAGAGCAGATGAGTTGTTATATCTTATCCTAAAAATATGTTTTGAAGTGTTTGGTTACAAAGAGATGATATACTCAAACAAATAAGTTGGGTTGGTTGTGTATATCTTATAGGAGCTTGTAGGGTGCAATTGGATATATTTTCATATGCGGAAAAAAAAAAAAA